AGGGGGTGTGCAACCTATTCACATGCCCATGGCATAGGAGTATTAGGAGTGTCACAAAAGACCCAGGGTAAGTCTGCATCATCGCATTTTGTCTATAAAACCAAATCTAAATGGTAGATCCTCTTCATATTAAAAAATTCAAAGTTTTTGTATGTTTTATCTACTTTGAAAATGTACACATACACAATCATCACAGCTAACATTTATAATTAGAGTTAAAAAAGACAAAAACCTAATAATACCACACACACAGACACAAATACCCACAAAATCAAACACATCCTTCATCTCATTTGATTTATCAGATTTATGATAGAATCCACTATAGGCATATAAAAATATATATACAGGATTAGCAAAGAGCCTTCACTTACTACACTTTCTGAAATGCAGAGCTGCTAGGACAACAAAAGGAACTCTACATTTCTTATGTTCCTCCTCCTATCAATATCTATACTACTTCTATGTATATAGGTTCTTTAAATGATCCTCAATCTGGACCACATGTAAAAGTCCCAGGGAACTTTAAAATACTGATCTTTGGGATTTTGATTGTTCTATGAGAGGACACAGGTGTGTTTCTAAAGGTCTCAGGTGATTCTAATTAGAGACAGGGTTCAGAACCTTCCTCTAAATCTTCTCAGCCTCCCCTTTCAAGCCTTTACTTATTTTTTCTTGGATCTTTTCTCCTCAGAATACTTACCATACTTGAAGCTGGTTTGGATTCTCTATTTTATCTGCCCTCCCAAAAATATCATAAGACCCTTAGAAGGTAAAAGTATCTCCTATTCACCTTCCTGAAATCTCCCACAGTGTCTCCATAGTGCCAAATACATAGACTGCATCATTAGCCTCTATTTACACAGAATCTATTTTATCCTTCTGTATTAACCCTAATAGGGGTAGCATTACTATGCCCATAGTGCAAGTGAAGAAACTGAAGCTCTAGTCAAGGTTAAGTAACTTGCCCCCTAAGTATATAACTAAAAAGTGACAGTTATACTCCACCCCTGATTCACGTGACTGCAAGTTCCTGCCTCTTGCAAAACAACAAGAAGCTTATAATCAATTGGGTTTTCAGTCAGTCAGTCAGTTCAGTCGCTCAGTCATGTCCGACTCTTTGTGATCCCATGAATCGCAGCATGCCAGGCCTCCCTGTCCATTACTAACTCCAGGAGTGTACTCAAACTCATGTCCATCGAGTTGGTGATGCCATCCAGCCATCTCATCCTCGGTCATCCCCTTCTCCTCCTGCCCCCAATCCCTCCCAGCATCAGGGTCTTTTCGATTGGGTTTTAGATAATGTCAATTTCTAAAAAGCACGTAAAAAGCTATGCAACATCACTAATTATTAGAGAAATGCAATCAAAACCAAAATGAGCTATCATCTCACGCAGGTCAGAATGGCCATTATCAAAAAACGTACAAACAATAAATGGCTGGAGAAGGTGTGGAGAAAAGGGAACCTTCCTACACTGTTGGTAGGAATGTAAATTTGTACAACTACCATGGAGAACAGTATGGAGTTCCTTGAGAAAATTAAAAAAAAAAAAAAAGACTACCATATGATTCAACAAACCCATTCCTGGGCATGTATCTGGGGGAAACCATACTTCAAAAAGATACAGGCCTTCCAATGTTTACTGCAGCACATTTACAATAACCAAGACGTGGAAGCAACCTAAATGTCCATCAACAGAGGAAGGGATGTGGTACACACACATAATGGAATATTGCTTAGCCACAAAGAAATGAAATAATGCCACTTGAAGCAACATGGGTAGACCTAGAGATGATCCTACTAAATGAAGTAAGTCAGACAAAGGTACAAACATATGATATCCCTTATATATGGAATCTTAAAAAATGATAGAAATGAACTTATTTACAAAGCAGACACGGACTCACAGACTTCAAAAACAAACTTAGGGTTCCTAGAGGGGCAAGGGGGTGGAGGAGAGATAAATTAGGAGTTTGGGATTAACATGTATATATATAGTAATATACACTACTATATATAAAATAGAAAATCAGCAAGGACCTACTGTATACCAGGAACTCTACTAAATATTCTATAGTAACCCATATGGAAAAAGAATCTGAAAAAGAATGGATACATGTATAACTGAATCACTTTGTTGTATACTTGAAACTAGCACAGCATTGTAAATCAACTCTACTTCACTATAAAATAAACATTAAATTTTAAAAATATAATAAATAACTTGGTGTCAATTAAATACTCTTAAAAATTAAACAATTATTTATATCAGCATGTGGGGTTGTTGAAATGGTGGTTCCATAAACAAAGGTAAGGGAAATAAAAGTCAAAATGCACTTAGTCAAATTTTTCAATCATCTAAAATCTTACAATGAACAGTCTAGGGCTTCTCATTTAAGAAGAGCTGCTTCAGGTTGAGAGTCTTTAGGTGATTAACTATTCCTCTGCCTTTCCAGAAATAAATCTTCCTGAAATGTCTCATTATCTTTATATGAAATGAAATAATTTCTTAAGGAAAAGGAAAATCATCATATAAGTGGGTGATTTTTGCTGGAGGAACCTTCATTCAGAAAGATGGCTCAAGGGAAAGAACAGCCACTTCATTCTGATATTACGACAGGTAAACATTAGGGTGACTGGATTTTTCTGAGTAGGCCATGCATTTAAAAAACAAAAGATTAATCAAAGGCAGATTTTGACCCTCTCCTGCCATCTGCTCATCACGCAGTTAACCAGAAGAAACAGGGTCCGCCCTCTGTGCTAAAGCTGAAGTAGAGACCTGGGGGAAAATATTCAGAAGACTAAACTGGAATTAAGCAGGAGAAACACATTTTAAAGTCTATTCCTTTGCAAATAGAATCAGGTAGAAATTATACATGACTCCTGTATAGTTAAACATTTTTGCTATGTCTCTGAGATCTTCTATTAGAAAACGAGTAGTTAAGCCACATGTTAATTCTACCACCAAGCTAATGAAATAATTCATCCAAATTTACGTTTGTCAAAACCTAATGATGAGGAGGCATGACTGCCAAAAGAATGCCTGCAAATAGGAAATAATTTTTTAAAGTTTGTGACTTTAAAAAAATTTCTCCTGAAGAAATTTCACGCTGCAGCTGGTGTTACCTAAGGGGTTAAAGTCTGTGAGCTAAACTTCCTTAAAGACTCTTAATAGTGAGCTCCACACTATTTCTCAAGGCAGCTACTGCAGAAAGCTGTAATCTAAATTTACAGAGAAGCAAAGAACCAAACTCCACATCCCCCACCTTGTTTAAGATTTAAAAGTGTATCCAGTCACTTTTTAACTGCATTTTGCATATTCTACAAGACAACTTTGGTCAGAAATTTAAAAAAAAATTGTTTTCAATGAAATATATATCAGCACCAATGAAACCAAAAAGCATACCAAATTTATCTTAAAGTGTATCTAATACATCATGGATGTTATGCACTTGATATGCTTTTATTATAATCTGTGACTTTGAAACAGAGAGAAAAAGTACAAATAAAAAGGGCAGTTGAACATGCTACCGAAGTCATAAATAGATTTTTTTTAAAAAACACTCTCATTGCAAATTATCTTTTGCAGTAAAAGGTGCTATACATTTTTTAGTACTACTATTTCATCAGTGACATAACCCACAAATTATCCACCTCAAAGAATCACAAATCACTCCAGCAAACATACCTTGGAAAGATACACAGTTACACGGCGTGGAAATTGCCACAGGAGACAAAATGGCGGCTACAGGAAACTGAGTGGCAGGTTACAAAACTTCTAAGAGCAGAAGTGGTTTTGAAGTAATAAGTGAGAAAGAAAAAATAACCTAACCTCCTCAAGATAACCACTAGCACAAGCCAGAAAGTGGGGCCGTGCTGTGTGTGAGGAAGTGAGTACGGTGGAGGCTGCAGCTCTCTCACAAAGGAAGTGAAGACACTTCTGGTTTTACCAACCAACTCATTTAAGTCAGATTTAACCCACTTGTCACGTCTGGCATTTAGTCCTCAAATAATATAACATATATACACACTCTCAACAACTGGTGTTAGTATAAAAATGCGGGCAATCCTCAACTTAAAAGGTGGTGGGGGGTGTGTTTTAAAAATTAAGGTCCATACTGTCTGATTCCAATGATACCAAGTTCCAGAGAAAGCAAAATTATGATGACAGAAGTGTATTGGTGATTGCCTACTGCTGCTGGCTAGGGATTGCAAGGGAAGACCCACAAAAAGGGGCATGTCGAGGCTATTTAGGGTAAAACATTCTGTACCTTGACTATACGAATTAACTATAAACTGGCCAAATTCCTCAAACTGTACACTTTCAAATGAGTGAATTTACTGTAAGTAAATTACAATAAAATTATTTCCCAAAATTACTTTAAAAGCTTAAGGTTCATAACTTGACTTTTCAGATTTTGGAATAATTTTTTTTTTCCTGATAAAAGCATGTTACAAACGGTGATTAAGTTTCCAGGCTAATCTTTCCCTTCCCCAAAACGTGAATCATAATTTGGGTGAAAGCAAGTAGCATGGGAAGTCCACTGAGTCCAGAAACTTCAGAATTAGGCTTGCTTTGCACTTTAAGCCCTAGTTGATGGAAGGAGGGGCTTCCCTGTGGTTCAGCAGTGAAGAACCCACCTGCAATGCAGGAGCTACAGGAGGCTCGAGTTGGATCCCTGGATTGGGCAGGTCCCTTGGCGGAGGGCATGGTGACCCACTCCTGTATGCTTGCCTAGAGAATCCCATTGACAGAGGAGCCTGGAAGGTTACAGTCCATAGAGTCGCAAAGAGTCAGACATGACTGAAACGACTGGCATGCACGCAGAACAAGGGAGAGAGGGAAATTGATGTCAAAAAATAGATGCAGGACTAGGAACTGGTGGTTGGTGATATAAGGTAGAGGTGGGAAAATCTTAGGAGACTCAGGAGGCATAAGCATAAGCTGGGCACGTCTGCCCTTGATCAGTCTCTAAGCAAACCTGTAACTCATACTTACTAGCTGAAGAGAGGGGAAGCCAGAGGTACTTATGCTTTGTCGATGGTACTGGCCAAGGTTTGGTGGGAGGGTAAACTGTTTCCTTATTTCCGCAGAAGAATACCTTGGGTTAAAACAGAAAAATCTAAATGAAGTGGTTATTTTAAAGCATCACTGCAGTTTTAGATACAATCTCTGATATCACATTAGAAAACTGATTCTTTAGCTGGGTGACTGGCAGAACTTACTAAAATGTCCTCAGTGGCCTCTGGGTGGACACTAGAGCTTTAGGGTGATCATATACTTCCTTGAGAAGTTCACAGAAGCCAGGAGGCCTGCAGACAGGGCACTTGCCCAACACTGGAAGGATGATGGCTTCTTAGGTGTGCTAGTGGTAGAGAACCCGCCTACCAATGTGGGAGATGTAAGAGACCCTGGTTGGATCCCTGGGCCGGGAAGATCCCCTGGAGGAGGACATGGCAACCCACTCTAGTATCCTTGCCTGGAGAATCCCATGGACAGAGGAGCCTGGTGGGCTGCAGCCCAAAGAGTCACCAAGAGTGGGACACTGCTGAAGCGCTCAGCAGGCAGGCACGCACTGAAGGACGACAGCACAAGAAGGAAAAAAGTTTGGAGTCCAAGCAAAAGACCCAGGGTGCTTGGCTCCTTCTTCCCAGGCCATTCAGAGGCACCGTCTCCGTGCGAGGACATCTGGCCTCTGACGACAGTCCTTTAAGCCCAGAGCCGCCAGTTTGAACCAGTCACTCTCCTTTCAGCGGTGGAGCACTTCCGGTTGCTGCTTGCTATCATGGAAGATACCAGAGAACTGCTTTATGGACACCTCTACTTCCCTGCAGGCACCTTAGGTGCTACCTGGAATTGAAAGGGCTGTATTTGTTCCAAACCACTCCAAGTGAGTGATCCTTCATGTCAGTGGAAGTGATCCTTCTGAGCCCTCAGACAACATTCCTGCAGCCCGAAGGAGCGCAGCAGAGTCCCGCTCCACCATCCACACCTGCCCGCGGGTGGCACCAACCAGCAATATCCCAGACAATGAGCAGGTTGGCTTTCTTTTATTATTATCAGATTAAGGAAATTATTTTCTTCCTTTTAAGAATATGTATTTGTGTCTGGTCTTAGTTGCAGCATGAGGCATCTTCGTTGTGTATTTGGTTTCTCTCTTTGCGGCTTAGCTGCCCCCCTGGGCATTTTGGGATCTTAGTTCCTGGATCAGAGATCAAACCTGTGTTCCCTGCATTGCAAGGCAGATTCTTAATCACTGGGGAAGTTTCGAGCAACTTGACTTATGCGTGGTAAAAGTCAAAGCGTTCATTCATTAGTCATTTGTAACTTGGAACACATTTTCTCATTGTCAGTCTTTGGTGGGTGGATTCTAAGGCTAGTTCACAAAAGTGTATTTAAACCACAATGAGGCCACTATAGAAAATAACTAGAAACTAACATTATTTAGGACCAAATGAAACCCTATATTTGAAAGATGCTATACATCCAACATAGAGATATATACACTTAAAAAATTATAACTTAAAATATTTAAATATTATAAATAAATCCTATTATATTTTCTCCATTATAAAGTATGCTAGGACATAATTATTAATTTTCCTGCATGATGACGTTTCTGACATGATCTGCTTGGGTCCCAATTTTAGCAGTGTGGTGCATCTACAGAGGCAGGAAACTTGTCCTGATCCCACCTGTGGCATCCGTTTTCCCAACCCAAGAGTGCCTCAATTTCCTTTCAGGGTTGACACCCTCATGTTGTACAGGTACAACTACAAATCAATAGACATGTAACCCAATACAAGACAATTCTCTCTCCTTTCCGGAATCCTGAATGATGAATGGAAAGACAAAAGGTGGTATATCATGCATGGAATATTATTCAGCAATAAAAAAAAGTACTGATATATACCACAATATGGATGAACCTTGAAAACATTACATTCAGTCAAAGAAGCTAAAGCAAAAGACTACATATAGTATAACTTTTTATATGAAATGTTCATAATAAGCAAGTCCATAGAGACAGAAAATAGATGAGTGCCTAGGGCTGGGAGGATTGAAGACAAATGGGGAGTGACTGCTATTGGGAATGGGGTTTCTTTTAGGGGTGATGGAAATGTTCTAAAATTAATTGTGGTGATGGACACTCAACTCTGTGAATATACTGAAAACAAGTGACTCATACATGTTAAATGTATGAATTGTGTGGCATCTGAATAATTTCTAAATAAAGATGAAAGATAACAGATACAAGTATGTGTGTGTGTGTGAGAGAGAGAGAGAGAGAGAGAGAGAGAGTGAGTTCTACAGAGACAAGAGTGAAGCCAAGGATTTAGCATGATAACCAAGAATGGAGGAAAACTTTCAGATTTTGATCTACAGTGCTCAATAGGTTGGTTTTCATACCAAATTCAACAGTCACCAATTTCTAAAAAATCAAGAGGCAAGACTCCTACCCAAAACAAAAGGCCCATCTTTCATAAACAACACTGCATCTTGTTTTGGGCACCACAGGGACCCAAAGCAGTAGAGCAATCACTTATTTGCTTATTTCAGAAGGTGACCATAGTCACAAAGGGTGGCGAGAACTAAGCAAAGGTCCTTTTCTGTGACCGAGCTGGCTTTTCACACGTAAGACTGACAAACCGACCCCGTGACTTCTGCTTCCAGATCCTCCCCCACAAGGCTTCTCAAATAATGAGTTTTAGTTTTCTGGCCTTCTAAAGTCCTTCCTGTCAGAGAGGTCTACCTGAATATCTGAAAACCTTCATGAAAGAAAGTGGCATTGTGAGAGAATTATACAATGGTGGGAGGGACAGTTTCTTGCTTTGATTTTGAAGTAAAACTGGTTGTCCAACGTAGGCCCAATAATTTTTTCATCATGCCATCACAATGTTCTTGCTCCCTAACCCTACATAAACAGCTGGTGTTCCTGTTGCAATCCTCCACATCAGAGCTATACAACTGATCTTGTTCCCTGACACAACAAGCCTGCCCGAATCCTATTTCCTGTCTCTACAAAAGGCAATTAAACCTGTCCCTTCAAAACTGTCAAATAAGGAGATAAACTGTCCTTAAAATTATAACTGAATTTTCCCACACAGAAAGGAATTGCTTCATGTTCACTTAAAGAACTTCCAAATAAAATAGTTCTGGAGAGGCCCTATGCACATTTAAACTAGCAAAAATAAGCTGGGATAATAATATTATATGTTGGTCAAGCTATGGGAAAACCCCTGGGTTCTATATTGGTTCAGTGTCTATGGAAGATAATACTTTAATAGGTGACAAAAGCTCTAAAACTTGTTACTCTTTCATCTAACCAATCTCACCTAGGGAACATACTCCCTGGAATTCATACAAAAATATAATTTGAACAAAAATAAGCATAAGAACTCTGTATATGATAGCAAATAATTGAAAATAACCAACATTACTGGGGAGAACATTAGGGTGAACACTGACTGTGTAACAGCATAAAATACATGAAATATTATTTTACCATTTAAATATTTGTATAGAAATGTGCATAAAGACATAAGTTACAAGTAAAAAGTAACATGAGGAACTGAATACAAATATTCAACAACATATGTATAAATAAATATCCCAAAATGTTCAGAAATCTTTTTGGTAGTTATATAAAAGGAGTTTAATAACTACCCCAATTCAGCTTTTTCTCCTGTAAAGTTGCTTAAGGTCATCATTAAAAAAAACAGTATGTACATATAAAGTGTCATGCAGGCATAGATGCACTACTGGGGATTTTTTAAAAATTATGTAAACATTAGCTATTACATTCACTAATATGGAACAAAAATAAGAGAACCTAACCAAGGAAAGAGCTCATACAGGTATGGTGTCCATCTAGGTATTATATGGGGGCTTTATTTCCTCTGCATTTTAGACTCAGATCAAATTCAATATGTCTAAGATAATTTTTAGGATGCTAGATTTATATCATATTTCCTTGATGAGCTAAGATACCTTTCTTCTAATATGTTGAACTGCTTTATAAATATTATCTTCTTTATTTCCACAATATCAATCAATACCCCTGCTCTGGGGTCAGAATGGCAAAATCAAGTGGGTAGCAAAGCTGCATGCTTTTATTCAGATTGACATTGTTGTGTTACATACAGTTGGGACTGAGTATCAGCAGAATTAATGATTGAGCAGAACTTGTTAAATGTGACCTACATGGTTTGATCCCTGGGTTGGGAAGATCCCCTGGAGGAAGGCATGGCAACCCCACTCCAGTATTCTTGCCTGGAGAATCCCCATGGACAGAAGAACCTGGCTGGCCACAGTCCATGGGGTCACAGAGAGTTGGACACGACTGAGCGACTAAGCACAGTTCACAGCATGGACCATTTGCACCAAATCATCAGCTGCTTAATAAAAATGCAGATTCTTAGACCCCACCCCAGTCTTGAATCAGCATGTCTCACGGTGTGGCCTGGAAAAATAAATTTTTAATCAGGAACTTCAGATGATTTTTATGTCCCAGAAAGCCTCAGATTCACTGAGGTGCAAGCCTATGAGAGAGTGGTTGGTTGACTCATTAATTCATAAAACACTGAGGGCATACACAGTGCCAGACTCTCTGTCAAGTGCTAGAGAGTGAAGTCCAAGAAGATACCATTGCTGCTCCTGGAAATCCAGTAGATGGGAGGGAGGAGAGCAGATGGATAACTGAATAATTATAATAAAATATGATAAGTATATTGTGCAGGAATGTGGACAGTGCTTTGTGAGCAAAGAGGAGAGTTACTAATTCAGCCTTGGAATACTTAGGAATGCTTCCTGTTCCAGGAAAAGGAAACTTTGGGACCATATTTTGAAGAAAAAAAATAAGTCAGTAGGAACAGGACTGATGGGGAAAAAACAATGCATTTCAAGCATTTTTAACATTTTTTAACATTTCATGACATTAGGTTTCCATACTCCTACTTCAAGTATTTTAACCAGTGGGTTACCCTGTTTTTCTTAACAAGAGGCATAGCTAGAACAGCAAAGAAAAAGAGTCTGAACTCAGTGACGTGGTCCTGGGCTTTGCCATTTGCCAGCTACTCTGTATTCAAGTACATCAGTTAA